TTCCTGTTTAAATGAAGAAATTTTCCACTAAAACAACTTGTTCATTGTGCCTAGAGGGATACAATGAAGCTAATGGAGGTTGTTATATTCCCTTCTCTTTGACCTGCTTTGTGTCTTTAACCCTGATACAGAGTTGTGGCCACAGGCTGTCAATGCAGTGATGCTAATTATATATATGGCAAAACAGAGCATCAGGCAGTTGGCCTCTTTCACAGCTAATCACTCATTTTTCCATCACCAGTTGCACACAAAAAAGTTTACATGCAAGTATAAGTCCTCACAGCAGCAGTAGAACGCTCCATTGATTTGAATGTCATTTCAAAACGTTCTACCGGTCATTATTTCTTGATAACGGACCTCTCAAAACAATAATGACCGCTGCCTTTTGGCAACGCACTCTCTGCTCGTAATTCAGATGGTTGAGTTTATGTTTGGGTCACTCACCACTGATGTTCACAATTCTTAGTTCAGTTTTCATCATAGACTGTATATATTAACGGACGTAGTCAGGCCTATCTCCACCGTTCTAACTAATGGGCCAAAAATTGGGCTTTCATGGAGTGATTCAAAATGGCCGCGGGGGCTGAAAAATGTGCAAAAAACGCATCTGCGCATGCGTCAGCTGCACGAGCTCCATTCATTTAAACGATTGACTTCACAAATTCACACCCCCCCCTCAGCATTGACACACATGTGGAACGGAGCTTTGGGCCAAGAGCCAACTTTTGGACCATCCTGTGAAGGTGTTTTTGAGAGGTAAGAAGATGCTATATGTTAGCATTGGCTAATTCTTATTCCGAGTCCGGGGGGGGTATTGCAGCATGTCAGCGCACGTCATTATGGCCACTTTTGAGCCGGGACCCGCCCCCACTGGTTCTCATGCAGTTTGAGAGAGTTCTCGTTTGGAAGGTGCTAGCCTAACTGTTACTCGCCTAACTGTTACTCGCATAGCCACGGGAAAACCTTTGGGAACCATTTTATTTTCTGTCATTAAATAAACCCTTCGGCATTCCTAAAAGTGGGCTGACGTTTATTTTGTGTGTTCTGTTGGTGCAAAGCCGTATAATAAGCGGGATCATGTATTAAGCAGGTCATTATCGGAAAATATGTACCTTCAGGGCGGAAGCTTCGCCCTGTCGGTATATTTCAATTAGGGCTATAATTAACTTTCCCCATGTTGCTTATATTGTATAAGAAATAAAAATAAATGCACTAAAACAATATTTAACTATAAAACAAACTTTCAATAACCACTTTACTTTGGCAAAACATGCTCGATAACTTTATAAACAGCCGATAACGTAATAACTTGTGGAGACAACAAATTTCTAAGCATGAAAAAACTTATTTAGTTACTAGCAGGTAATTACATCGTCAAGTTATTGGTTCCTCCACACCCGGATTCAGAAGCTGCTTCACGGTTGTGCGTTCTCTTTTCACAGTTTGAAAAGTAACCAACTTCATCCATTTAAATCTGAGGTCTTAATTTTAACAACAAATGAGAAAATCCATTCCACACGTTCCTCTGTCTCCAAACATGTATTGACCCCCATCACATGTTTTAATCAGCTTCTTCAGATGAAAAAGTTATGAAAGAGAGGACCACCCACATTCAGCCAATCAGCTCTCAGCCCAAAGCATCAAAATATATAATAATAGTAGCGTTCAGACATTTAATACTGTGAGTTTATATATGAGATTTTTCAAGTATATAGTAGTGTAATACTTAATATTCACTATTATTTCATGTCTGTGTGCTCCTCGGTCCTACTGTTCTATAATCTGTGATGCAACAATAAAATTTTCTCACTGTGGGACAACTAAAAGGATCTTATAATCTTAACACTTATTTTCTAATGATAGTAAACGTGGGTCAATACATGCCATGACCGTTGGTACCTAACTTTGTACCAAACCGTTTTGTGTTTGAGGTGTGGAAGTCTGTGTACAGTCATTTGTCCCTGATATAAACAGACTTGTACCACACCAAACTCCAAAACATGATTTTCTGTCAGTATTTCCAGGATGTGGACAAAAACATAAAAATACATATCCATTTTAAGTGCTTCATTTGGAGAAGCTTGGCCTCATAGTTACACAATGTTTTTACAACAACGCTGGGACAGTACAGTGCTTCCCTTTACTACGCCTAACAACATTTTACAAAACGAACAGCCCATTCTGTAAAAGCCAACCAATAAAAGGAAATTTCCACTAATTTTAAAACGTAACAAACCACAACAAAGAGGTTTTATTGGTGAAACTTTGCTATAAGCAGTTCTTACATGCACACCACAAGAATGCTATGGCACAACAGTAAAGTCAACCATATGCAAAGAAGGGATGGACTTTGGACATTGTCGATGCAAAAGTAATGCAGGTTGAAGAACTGTTTAGAAAGACGGTTCATACCTTTCCCCTCTTTATGAGATGCCCCACACTGAACAAACATTACACACTGGTTCTTGTTAAGTATGAATCCAATGTGCTTATAGTCAGAATGAAAGAGCTTTGGAACAATACATCTACTATTAGGCCATTCTCAAGCCTGGATAAATGGATAAGGCTAAAAAGAGGGGTGTGTCAGAGAAAGTATACAGTGTGTTGTCAAGAAAATTGCACAAGAGGCCGAGTAAGAACAACAACTGATCAGACTATACATGTGAGGGAAAAGATTGCTGTCATGTTTTTAATCTAGAGAAAAAAAGTAAATTCTGTATTTAACAATTGGTTATTGATTAGTTGGACAAAAACGTTGTCATCAATCAGAAAACAGCAGCACAGGAGATGTGTAAAGAGGAAAAAGGAACGTGACCTAATTAGTTGCATAAGTTTGTGGTGGGTGAGGTATTTTTCTTGGCTTCCGGATTTGGACGGGCAGGTGTAGTGTTTACATTTTTTGTGTTTACTTTATGGGAGTGTTCTACAGTGTTCTACACACTGGAGAGTAGCCTTGGGCAAATTTCCATCCGTTGTCCCACAGTCGGACTCACAAACACACACTCATAGTGGTTCTGTTGGCACCCCCTACAAGTCCCCTCTGTGTCAGCATTGCTAATATTGTTCTTCGTTGGCCTCAGAATCTCCTTTCCCCAAGTTTGAACATGATGTCACTCGTGCCCATAATTTGTGGAAAGTGCTTTCCTGTAATGAATGAGCGGTCTGAGAAGGTAACTCCAGAAGTCAACGTGAAATCCATCATCTACTGTGATTTTCATCTTTCATCTTCAAATTACTTGATTAGATTGCAAAAGGCTCAATACTACAGGATAATCAATCTATTTGACCATGACAACTTTAAAGTGACGCTTTCCTTCATAGAGTGTACTTCTAACACACTTTTTTTTACACATTTCCTGTGCTGCTTGTTTCTACTTCCTTGTATCAAAATGCACTGGTGATAGATTAGAGCATCAATCCTCATTGGAATTCTAATGAGACCCCTACTTGACCATATCACTGCCGGTCTCTCAAGCGCTGTGTCCAGGAGCTTTGGCTCTTTGCCTCTCTTTATGTAAGAACAGTTTAATCCGCAGCACACGGATAACAGTGTTTTTGGACAGTGGCACACAGGCTCCCTCCTGCTCCAATCCTAATGCCCTGATCATCTTTTTGCACAACATGTGGCCTCAAAGCTGCTGCTGAGACCACTGACAAAGGAGAGTTTGTATTAGAAATATCAGGACATTGTGGCGGTTTTTTGCCAACTGGTGATTATTATTTATTTGTGACTTGAATGTTGTTCTTTTAGTAGTATCTTTATTCCATACTTATGCATGTCTGTTGTTTTATAACCCTAAGTCATTCAAAACTCATCTCTCAGTCTGTAAAGAAGGTAAAAAATGTAATCATTGAAATAAAAACGTTTGATTAGTTGTGATTGTTTTTGTTTTGTTGAAGATTAAAATCACGGTTAGCAGCCTTGCTTCGGAGAATAAATCCAGGTTGTTTGCATGTAATCCTTCCACACTATTCAGAAAACAGGGGAACAACTCTGACAAGCAGCTAATAATGATTCCACAAACCTCCATTGTATTTCTATACACACTATAGTTTGATAAATGTCTTGTGCACTGTCCTTGGCTGTGCCACTTTGCCTTTCTCATTTATCCTACTTAACATTGTCACATTGTTTCAGTGTCAATACCTTTTTCCAATGAGCGATTCCCTATTGTGCTTGAGTATAACAACAGGAAATCTGTTTTGATTGGAAAGTAACGTGACACACTTCTTTGAACCTCTTCATCCCCGATTTAAACGAGTTGTCAGAGCTTTTTCATCACTGCCTCCACATAACAAAAAGCCCACCTAAATTTATCACGGTACACAAACCCTTTTAAGTTAATTACTCTGATGGAGCAGAGGCTGACACAACAACAGAAAAGACTGGGTCAGGAGGCCTGGGGGCAGCCACTGTCTCCTATGGGGCTTAACAGAGAGAGGGCAAACGTGCTCAAAAGGATAGTCAGAGTGTGAGAAAGGGGTTTGGACTCACTTTTCAATGCTTGCAGAAAGTATGTACATGAATGTGTTGTGGTCGTGGGACAGAAGAAACATGTCAAACTTTAGTCTTTTAGGACTAGTTGCCTGTCAAAGGTGTGCAGCACACATATTCCAAAAGGCTATATTATGAGGATTAGAAAATTCCCAGACAATTGACACATGTATTATTTGTCACTAGTGTGTTGCATTATGACTATAGAATCACAATACAATATTTCAGTCTACAAAAATTACTAAATACCAATTTGGATACCAAGGCGTTTATGTGTAAGATTCTACTTTTGGACAATAAACTAGGTTTAAAATCAAAATAATAATACTGTTTCGTTCCATACATGTATTTCTGATATAGTTTAAAACATGTCAAGAATGTTTGTATGTGATTTCATTTACTATCTATACTGGCTCAAATAAGCAACTAGTTTATATACTAGTTTGAGTTTAACCTTTGATACTTTGACAACCTTAAGTAACATTGTTGTGTGTTTGAGACGTACCCATATCTCCCTGGAGGCTGGTGTCATGGGACGTCCGGCTGGATGCAGTGGACTCCCCATCACTCGGCCAAGCCGGTGCCGTTTTGTGGGCACCAGAACCCACCACCAACACCTGCTGCTTTAACCTCTTCTGTGACAGCGGCGTGGGCGGGCTGCTGCTCTCAAACGACTGCTGAGAAGGCGAGCGGCTCTTGTCCCGGTGGTACATGGGGTATGCCGTTGTGGGACTGGGGGATACATGACTGGACTGTCCCGACGAAAAGTCCTCCTCGCTGGATGTTAAGTTCTCATTGGAGCTACAGTCTGGCGTGTAGCCTTCTTCAAAACTCCCAGGAGAGTAGGATCGCCTTGGCCATGTTAAATTAGCATCCTCCTCAATGGTCCTGTCACTGATGTTGATGACTTTAGTTTCACTTTCCGACATCATCCCACCAACATAAACAGAAGTGTAAGGTTGACACTCAGTTGGTTTTGGGCTGGGATTGTCTTTTTGCGATTCTATTTGAATGTCATTATTTAACTCATCATAGATTCCTTCAGTAGATCCTCCTCTTTGAACACAATTAGTGGAAGGAGACAGATTCACTGGCAGCGAATTGAGAGATCTCTTCCTCTCCATTTGCATAGCCTGACTACCAAGTGTGCTTATTTTGTCTGAAACGTCTTTATCGTTCACTTTTACCAATCCTTTTTCATGGTGATACTCCATATTGACATAAAACGGCTTTTCAGGACCTCCCATCACTGCAAGAGGTCTGCTCTCGCCACCTGTGTGAGAATTGGCTCTACGAATTCGCTCAAAGTTGGATCTTATTGCCGCAACAGATCCTGGTCCAGTTGGGATATCTGGTTCATCTGTGTCTTGTCTCACAGAGGACACTATACTTTTGGCCAAATCACCTTGAGGATGTGACTTACACCTTGTTGGCTTGTTAAGCTTCTTCTCTTGACCTCTGTCCATTCCATCACCTGGCATCGCTGATTTAAATCCCCACCTCTGCCCATCATAAGACTTCTTTTCCTTTGCCAGTAAAGTCTGCAGGTAGATCATACGAAAGCGCTCTTTGTTTACTTCCTTCTCAAAGTGCTTGATAGATGACTTGCATTTGTCCAGTTCCTGCTCAATCTCACCCATTGAGTTCAGCTCCATCGAAGGGGGATCAGACTCTGGGAACTGAGCCTTCCACGCATCCACAAATCCAACCGGTTCCACCATGTTTAGTATTTGTTTTTATCACAAGAGATCAATCAACCAACAACTAAACCGTCAAATTCCAGGGTTGAGCTTACATGGCAAAACTTCAGTACTTCCATTTCTCTGTTTGGATTGTAGTCCATTCCCTTTGCAGGTAAAGACACAAAGCATTTGTTGAAGAAATTCAAAAATGGGGAAATTGGGAGGAATGAAACAAAAACAGTATGGAGAAATAGTCACATCCAAAATTGAGTTGGCAATTCCCAGGAGATCCTTGTGTCTTGTTCAGTGGCTGTCACAGACTGACTCACGATGCACTGCTGTTTCAGTCTGAAGTCTATTCCTCGTTCAGTTCAGTCACAGCTCATGATGATGGGAGGGGCTACACAAACAAAAAGAAGATAACACAAAAAATCTGAGCAAAAGCACAAGTCAATCCTCCACAAACGCACATTTAACCCTGGTGTTCCCATACAACACTCAATAAAGCGCGTAAAGACTGACAACAGTCACGGTGCTGTTAGAAAATCTTACTATCTATATTTTGTAAACAACGATTAGATAGCAAACCACCAATGCCCGTGAGAAAACTTACCTCTCATAACTTGATTACGTGGTTGTCTTGAAGTTCTTTACTCCAGCAGCAATTAGACAACATGACAAAATCTCGACGAACGCATTAAGATATATTAAAGTGTCTTTAAAAAACTAAAAGTGTGTAGTTAAATCGTACGGTAGCAGCTTGTATTAAAGTGCACAAAGAAACAAACCTTTTGTACGGATTGGACAGGCTTTCGTTCTGATCCGATGGGTCCCTCGGGTCTGCTATAAAAACTCTGGCGATTAATAATCCTGGAAGTGCATAATGTTTTGAAAGAAGTTGCTTTTACGTCGTGTGAAAAATGTCGCCATCTGACGGATCAAAAGTACACACATGACGATCCACTAGCCTGTCGACGGTATATGTCATCAACCAACGAATTCACGCTCCAATAACCGTAACAGTCACTTTCACCACCACCAGATTGTTCAAACATTAACGTTATCACACCATGTATTACACAAGACACCAAAACGTCTCAAAACCATGGATCTATGATCACAACTGACATGACGTGGTTTAGAGGTGCTTTACTGCCGCCTACTGGTTAGTCCTTGCTAACAACTAATTCTCTTCTACGTGTGTCTTACATTTATTTATTTTTTCTATTTTACGATAAAGCCTACATTGTATAACTGAAATTCACGCTGTAGTTCATTGTAATAATTTAAATGGTAATGCATATGAAAACAACATTATTCAATTGACTTATTCCGGTTCCGGTTTCTCTGTTTCCATGGAAACAGTCACAGCTTCTTCCTCAGCTAACGTTAGCGCTGTTAGCTAAAGATCTCCTAGCTGGAGCGTGATCAACCATGACATTATATAGCTTAGCAGATAAAACACATTAGACCTCAGTAAGAATCGCTTTTAATGCGAGATATTAACGAGGTAGAACGCAGAGATCAGGGTTATTTGGAATAATTGTTGTTGGAAAAACATCGTGTCAACATGAGTGAGCAGCTAAAGTTCATCGTCGACCAGCTCAACAGGGAACCGTTCAAGAAAAACCTAAACCTCATCACATTTGACTCTCTAGAACCAATGCAACTGCTGCAGATTTTGAACGATGTTTTGGCTGAAATAGACCCAAAGGTATGAAATAACGTTTAACCCTGACTCCCTAGTTGTGTTACATTCTATAATGACATTGTTAGTGTTGTTGTTTTTGTGTATGTTTGTATGTATTCGTTTATTTGGTAGTGAGAGTGCATGGTAAATGACAAACGTGGTCAATTTAAAATAATTAAATTACATTTTCTTACATTAGTATATTTCTTTATGTGACTCTGGTCTGTGAAAGGCGGTATATAAATAAAGATTACTTACTTACTTACTTTTAAACTATTCATTATTCTTAGCTATGGATCCTGTGCTTGCATGTTAGTCCTTAATAAAGTCTAAACTAAAAAATAAAAATAAAAAGAAGCATTAGGGGTACATTTATGCCTCACATTACTTTCTCAACAATCTTTATATAAATCTATGAAATTTCTTAATTGTGAAAGTGCCTTAAGATGTGCTTAAAACGTAACTGCTATATGAATCGAAAACCTAACCTAGCTTTTAATATTTTGATCGTATTTTTGGAACTTCTCAACCACCCACCGCAGCTTGAATTTCCCATTATAGTATGTCTAAACTGGTTACAGACATTGCTTATTTTATCACAGCATGCTATAGACATCCGTGAAGAAATGCCTGAACAGACAACCAAAAGGATGTGTGCTCTTCTTGGAATGCTCAAATACAAGCCACCAGGAGATCTCTCTGATGTGTAAGAAATTAAAACCCAATTTAGGATACATTATTGGTTAAAAAAGTAAGTAATGATTATAATCAGTATCATTATTGTCCTTGTAGGAGCAGATTCAGACAGGGTTTGGTTACTGGTGGTAAATCTGTGGTCCACCCCATCCTGTTTTGGCTTCTGCAAAAGGTCCCTGAGCTGAAGAAACGGTCCTATTTGGCCCGATTTCTATTTAAAATGGAGATTCCCGCTGAATTCTTGCAGGACGATGTCATCAATGATACCTACCACCAGGTTTGTCAAATGTTACAACATTTCTCACCATGTGTAAAGTGAAGAAACTGTGTTTGATCAATATGTTTATAGTATGAAGAATTGGTGGAAGCATTTAAGACCTATCACAAGGAGTGTGAACAGCTGAGGACATCTGGGTTTTCCACAGCAGAAATAAGAAGGGTAAGAGTTTATATTGGGTATCTTTATAGGAAGTTAACAGAATGTATTTTGATGTGCCTATACTTATGCTATTCTATTAACACATAACATATACCATTTTGTTTCAGCTTCAGCCCATTATAAAAAACTATAATTACATTATTATTTTTTTTCTAATTTGAACAGGATATAAGTGCAATGGAAGAAGAAAAAGATCAGCTGATCAAGCGTGTGGACAGGCTGAAGAAAAGGGTAATGAGGCATCTGGTTCTTGTGATTCCTAAAAGTGTTTTGGGATTTACACAGTACTTATGGAGTAGAAGGAATGAAAACAGGACCTTGGACATTTGTTCCCACCTTCTTTATTAGACCACCAAAGCTTTGGAGAGCTAACACTCTGATGTAATGAGGTGCTGATATGATAGGTCTTTGCCCTAAGCTCTTGTGAAAAGGTGAAATCTGAGTCTGCTATTAGAGTTGTCTAGCTATTTCAGATGACTCAGGAATGAGGCTGATTTTCTCCTGTGTGCCACCAGGTGGAGTCTGTCTCCAACCATCAGAAGATGCTGGATCAGGCAAGGCTGCTGCGAGTGGAGAAGGAGAGGGAGGAGGCACTGGCTCATCAGAAACAAGAGCAGAAGAACCAGGTTAATGTTGTTTTACTATTTAGTATCATTAAAACATAATAGTTATTCTTCCATATATGGTAACATACATTTTATAGATCATGCAAGAAGGTTACATACTGCCATAAGATTAAATTAAAACATAATATTTTTCTAGGATGAGGATTGATGACGATACGATAGGAAGTCAAATAAGTCTGGGTGTACCAATGTCTATCCTATCTTTATCACCACTTAAATTTGACTTAATCTGGCTACTTCCTTATAAGACAAACAGAACGTTTTTTTTTACATTCCACAAGTCTGCATTTGCTTATTATTTTGTTCTTTCCCAATAATTAACATGTACAAAAATAATAATCAACTGCTGCTTTCGCAACATTTTTTTTTTTTACAGTTTATGACATATAGCTGCACTCTTTGTTTCTTCAGTTGATCCAATTTTGCCATTCTACTAAAAACAGTTGTCCTGCTTCAAAACTAACAAATAACATTTTGTATCCTATTCTTCCTTGCAGCTTTTCCAGGCCGAACAGAGACTCCACAGGTCCCAGCAGCAGTTGAAGGACATGCGACAGGCTTCAGCAGATGCCAGTCCAGAAAGTGAGTACACGGTAATGCTGATGGTAATACCGTGACGCAGCAGGAAGGAGAAGCACCCCTGATCCAGCTAATATCTGCCCAAACGCTCTATTTAAATACAAATCTTTGAAGTCCAACAATGGAGCCTATCCCGTGCAAAATTACTCCACTTATTTCCCCCCGTCTCCACAGAGAGCTTTGCGCATTTGCAGTTCCTAAAATGGATCGCACGGGGCAGTTTTAGGAGGAAGCTGCAAGATTACAGTCAGTTATCAGAATACCTCCTGGTGTGTATCCCGTCCTGTTATGAAGTGTTTAAATGGATTTATGAGACGGCTGTGATGGTTATGTAAGGACATTTTGTATTGTGGAGTTAAAGACACAGTGACTTAGTTTGAAGGTGCCAAACTTTTCATGTGAGAAAAATGTATGTTCTACTTATGTGTAATTGACCTTGGAGTGTCCCAGAGGCTGTATGAGTGGTCACATGGATCACAGTTGTGTGTACAGTGCTCCCGGATAAATTGTTTTGTTGGTTTTTCTAGTGCAGTGTTTACAGGTTCATCACTAGAGAAGACCTTCCAAACAATTGATCCATCATGCTCCATCCTGACCACTCCTATATGAAAAATTACCAACTTTTTTTGCATAAAACGTTGCGTAATGCACCTTACATAATGCCAAATAAACTATGAGATTTGAGCTATGTATGCAGTGCACAGTACACATAGCACCAAGGGGCTGGTGCTATGTGTACTGGGTGCCACCCCCGACCCAGAAATGGATTAAGGGGAAGAAAATGGATGGATGGATGGATTTGAACTATGTTACTGCATTGTCCCTTATCAAAAACAGACCTGGAGTTCTTTTTAGCTCCATCCACGCTAATATCAGGAACTTCTGGTGAAAATATTTAATTCCATCCTTTAAACCTTTGAAACTTTTTTCACCAAACATTTTCTATTGATGATATTAATTCACATGCTATGTCTATGAAATTCTATCAAATGACAAAGTGAATGGTTTTATGGCCTAAATAAATGCTCAATATTTCTTTTCTAACATTAAAAGCATGTTGCGTTTTCCCGGCAGTTATCCCCTACTGCTATACATATCATTATTAGACACTACTTGTGTTCATTAATTTACTGAATTGCCCATAGACCTAATGAAACGACTTGAAGAGGAGGTCAAGATAAACTCCTACATGGTGTTTGAAAAGTTACCGAAAGAGCTCGACAGCATGAGAAGATCTGTGCAGTATCTTCAGAAAGTGGCATCGGAACCTGCCATGGGCCAATCAGACGTGCAAGAGATGGAAGACAAGGTAGACAATAGTAGTATTTAATTATAACTGCTTCTTATGATTTTAAAGTCGATTTTTTTAACAGATCAAAGATGCTGAATCACAAATAAGTCAGCTTATAGAGAAGAGGATGATGAGAAATGATCCAATGGATGACAAATTGACACTATACAGGCAACAGGTAAAGAGATATTTTTCAAAGTGGAGTTTACATGCAGTTCAATGTGTTTTAAAGCTGTAATATTTCAGGCCTCCATAATTTTACGGAAGAAGGAGGCCAAAGCGGAAGAGCTCCAGGAAGCGAGGGAGGAGCTTTCTAATTTGGAGAAGGAGCTCAATCAGAGGGGCGGCCAAGGCGACGGAGAGGGCATGGTCAAAAGAGAAGAGGTACAATAAACGCCACACAAGTTTGTATCATTTGTTTGAATTATTCAGGAATGACCATAGACTGCATATATTAAGGTATTATATTTGCTCTACATGTTGTCTCAGTCCAAATAAATTAAGTTTTTCAATACAAAATGTTTAGGGCTGATGAGAGATATTCTGGATTGATATGGTAGACAAAAAGGGGGCATGACAAAATCTGTCAAAGCTAATTTGCCCTTTTCTCATTTTCCCTGTTTTTCAATATTGCGGTATTTTAAAGAAATAAATTATTCAAATATAATGATTAGTTGATAAATATTTTTTCCTACCAAGCTGGTGAGGGTTCCCATTTCAGAACCAATTTGTTTTCCACTCAAAAAATCAAGGACCATGGAGACGAAAACTGGCCCTGACTCAGTTCTTGAACAATACTAAATTAGTAAGTTAATAAGTTAATCAATAGCACTTTGTAAAAGGAGGTAGTTGAGAAGGCGAAATAAAGTTGGTCTGAACTGAAATACAGCAAAAACATTTAGAAGAATCTAATGGGCGCTAACTGCTGCTAGTAAACAATGTGTTGCTATGGAGACGGTCCTTGGCCCTACTCTTGGTCTAGATTGAACCAGGACCCTGGTGGAAAAGGGGTACAATACATATTTTGGTCGATTATAATGCCATACACATGAAACAGCCATAGACTCACAGCCCTATAATGTTACACCTGAAGCGATGATCCCATTTGTTAAAAGACTTTGGCAGAGATGGTATTCTTATCATTTCTCAAACCGTGGTATATTCAGCGATCTGACAAATTGTATTTGATTAATGTTCCCCTATGTTTTGGGGAGAGCCCTTTCTCATTTTCTATTTCATGTAATCTGGTTTCCACCTTCATAGCATTAAATATATTCCTGGGAGTAATTCAGTTTGGGATATATTTGCTCTGTTTTAGAACAATCTTAGTGTTGGTTGCGTATCCTTGCACAGAGTCATAGAGGGATGGATTTGAATAAGCAGATTAAAGTTCTACTAAGGTTTCATATTAGGATGAACCGTTTGTCAGGCATGCATTGCTCACTTAACCTTGCGTTGAGAGTATCCTCCTCACGAGATTGTTCATAGATGATAAATGACACCTCATTGACTTTAATGAGTCATCCCAAAGTGAGGAAACTGAGTGGGCTGTGTTCACACTCACAGCTCATTCAGATAAAGTCATGATAAAGTGCATGAGTGCATGTGAAATGTGTCTGCAAAGCCTCACACCTATCTAGGGATGCTGGTTACTGTCCCACGAGAAGGACACGCTCATGCAGATAGTTAGGCAGGTTTGAATTATTTATATGAATATTAGAGAGGGGCTAAACATCCATAAGAATATGTGAGCAATATTATGTTTGTTAATAAAGAAGCTGTAAGACGTAAATTAATAATGATGAGATCCCACCTCTACTAAACAAATTCATTAAACATGGAGTACGTAGCTTTTGAAACCACAAAATAATGAACTATGTAATGACATCCCGGTCACTAATTTCTGGCTCTCACAACACAATACTTAGAATGTATTTTCGACCTCTGTCACATTTTTAGATTCTCTTTTGTTACCCAGCAAAGTGAAAAAGAGAGTGGATTACCCTCACTCAGCCGATCAGCTCTCCAGAATGTAAAAAATAGCATGCTTTCTTTCAACAGAGACGGCGTGTTCTGGTAGGATTTGTTCACAAAATGTTACTTACTAACAAGACTCTTTCAGTTGGAACAAACAAAACACATGAAACAAAAGAAAGTTGCATACTCCAGCTTTAATTGAACTGTCCTGCTGTTTGTCAGTACTAAAGCTGCTGCTGGTATCCTTATATACTAATAATATACTACATACGTTCTAATTTTCTTCAAATAAAATGATAGGGTAGGCTTAGCATGTGTTACCTGCAGCAGTAATGTATAGATGGATTACTATTACTCTCTGTGAATGGCCAGTGAATAAACAGGCCTTTTCTCTGAACAATAGAAGCAACCCCTGAATCAACTTCAGAAACTCGTCCACGAACAGATTTTCAAAGCCGAGATAAAACAAGATGCTATTTCTGTTCTTATCCAAACACAGCAGGCTCACAAACCCAAAGTTACTTATCCGTCTCCGTCTCTCGCCTGCGTTCCCATACAGACCTAAAAATAGATCACAACGCAGAAAGTGCAGGAGGAAGAGCTTCTATCAGACGCACGTTTAGAAAGACGGACCTTTCTCTCATCTTTACTATAACCAGACTCTGCAGGCTCCTGTCGTAAAACCGGCTATCTCTATTTTTATCACGACAAAAGAGGTTTTCCAGGTTTTAAGAACTTGGCTTAGACTAGTGAATAGGTATTAGCGTAAAATGGAAAATGTGACTAAGCTGTGTGTATTCAGCAAATCTACCAAAGTACTTTTAGACAAGAACTATTCAAAAGTGTAAAAGTGGAAAATGCCTCTTCATATTGTCAGTCAATTTTAGATTCGAGCTTAAAAGGTTCTTTTGATGAGACAAATCTAATACTGCTGCATTAACTGACATATTTAGTCAGATGATGTAAGCTAGTACTGCTCAATGTCACCCTTGTTCTTATTAAAAAGTTCTGAGCCTTAAAAATGAATAGTGTCTTCTTTATATTTAAAATTTAATATTAGTGATTATTAAGCTCACAATATACTGGTAATTAGCAGCATTTTGTCTTTAAAACCATTGTCATGAGTGCTGGTTAGCTGCTTATATCACATGAACCTAACGTCATCATTCACGACTAAAACACAACAGCAAAACAATGGAAGTGTCAGTGTTGTCCAAACTTTGTAGTAAGAGGGCCAGACCTGTCCAGAGGTCGACAACCCGGATTTTAAAACTGTGTTCTGAGCTTTAAAATGGGGTGTGACATGTCTATATGGATTCACACCACAGCTAGTTAGCTAGTCAGTTAACGACTGGATTCCAAAGGTTCTTTACAAGGTACAGCATGATTATATTGGAGCTGAAGTTGGCTGGATGACACTGTGAAAGTACCTCAATGTCTTGATTAACAATAATGAGATCACACCTCTTTCCCACAAATTAATTAAATCTGGGGTATCTAATTTTTAAACCACAAAATAATTAACTGTGAAATTGTATACATTCATAGCCTCTCATTTTTGTTGTCTTTCTTTTTATGCTGGGGTATCAAACTAAACTGTACCTAAAATCCATCTAATGAGTTCCTTGCTCGAAAAAACAGTTTAGTTATACACACATTTTCACATGCACTTATGTTCGGCCATTATCACATTTTTAGATCAGCTTTGTCAGACAGAAAAGTGGAAAATAGAGGTCCACTGTCACTGGAACTTTTCAGAATCAGAATCAGAATCATGTGGATTGGCCCTAGAGATATTGCCTCTAAACCTGATATGTCTAGTCTGACTTTTGACACCATAGATACCAGCATACAATGTTAAACTATAAGCTCTTTGGAAATGTTGTGACGTCACATGAAAGCAACCTATTATCAGAATGTGTATGTGACATTGTAAAAGTTATTGAGAAAGTATTTGTGTATCGGAGGACAGAGCATTTACTCATGAGTAGTCAATGCACTCCTTTTGTTGCTCTGTTTTGCCTAACAGTTGCCCGCTCACAATGCTGCACTACTCTTCCATGCTAATTCCCCGCACAGCCGCGTCTGCCCTTGACTTCCCAAAATACACAAAGAATCGACATGCACATTTGGAGCTTCACACGTCCCCTCTGTCATTTCTGGGACGGTTCTCTAGTGCCGTATTAATTTATAGCTGCTCTTCATTGTGAGTGAACTGTGTCCCAGTAGACCAGAGCAGCATCGGGGCGGGGCAGTGGCGAGAACGTATCCACTTAAAGTTACTCCACTGCATGATGCTGTTTGAAGTGTGTCGCTGGCTGTGAACCTGTCTGGCTCAAATGACTGTTGCAGATCTCGGCTCGGCCACCACCGGCTACCGCTGTAATCCCAGCACTGATTTTAAACTTCATTTTGTTCCAGGCTTTTTATAGGGTCTCAGCTGTCCACAATAACATATCATGCTGCGTCAAACTGGTTTTCTCCATTCATTTCACCTCCCATTGGTCAACGGATGTGTCCTGCTCTTGTGGAAATGAGAAATATGAAATGATAACAATTGGAAATGTCTGGCAGACTTTGAGGGTTCAATTGAAGTGAACCCTGGTGAGCTTTGGAAGGAATAAGCTTTGTTTGTGTAGATGTGAAAGCACAAAGAAGCCCCTTGCTCAGATCTTTACCGTCATTGTGAGGACTTTGTAATTGCTTTTCATTGTCCTTTTGACCAACAACAGTGGACAGCGGATTGTCTCTCTGGTTAAATGAATCTCTGGGATTAAAAACATGTTCACGTATATAGTTTCGCTTAATCCTTCCAGTTTTTTGTATTGATGGTGTTGTTTGAGTGAGATGGAACCAAATAAGTCTCTGCTTTGTCAATCCTTTTCCATACTGTATTTCTGTTTATGTTTTGGGTCCGGTTTTAATTGTTTTTGTCTTTTTGTGTACATAAGTTTCGTAAAAAACGACTGTATTAGTAAATATTAACAATCCCCATATTTTGAAGCAAAGAGCAAAGGCAAGAACTACATATTGCGCCTCTCTTTTTAATAGATTTTCTGACATTCAGTACCACAAATTGCTCAGTAGAGTAAATTGCCAATCCCAGTATTTCTCGTTGTCTTTAGATACAAAGGATGGTGGCGAGGCTACGCAACAAGGCCACCCAATACAAGAGGAGACAGAAGGAGATGGCAGAGCTCCAGAGTGAGCATGGGATCCTGCAGCGGACAGAGGACATTCTCACCCAGCAGCACGAGAACATCCAGAAGAAACTGGTAACCTCCTTCTACAGCACCGCCTTTGTTTATGTCAGAGATTATTTACAAAAGATATTTAGTGGGTTCCCCAGCTAAGTTCTCTACTTTCTACTTCAGCTGGAGGGCAGGTGCCAATACATGTATATGGGAAAGAGGCTATTTTTTTGAAATAAATATTCAGATTCACAAACCCACCATATTATTCTTATGTCTGAATAAAAGTCCTTTCTACTGGCCAACATCATGCTTATGTTTTCAATATTGTCAACACTTTTATGAGAAAATATTTAGAGCATAGCTGATATGTGCTAACAAAGAAGATGTGGAGTTTGTTTTCAACTACCCTCCACCACAATGTTAAACTATAAACTATTTTGGAATGTTGTGATGTCACATGAACACAACCTATCGCTCTAATCTTAAAGAAACCTGTAACCGACTAATGCACCTGAAAATGTCATTTTAAATCACCACCTGTTCCAAAAGAGACGTGTTTAATTTGACCTGCTGCTTTGAGCCGGCTGTGAGTTAGCAGAGCGGTGCTAAAAGCTTCGTGGAAAAGGCTCCACACTTCTGAGCTGCCCCTGCACCTGACGCTCTGCTATGCCGAGTGACGCACAGTGGACAGGCTGCTATTTCTGTGGCCGCAACTGCCCCTCTGCCTCTGACGCTGTTAGCATGTGTAGTTCATTTGTTTTACTCTGTTTAACTTTGTCATTTATGAACTTTACTCCAGTGTCTCAAAAGGACGTATTGATAACATGTAATACTGTACACATAAAGCATAACTATGAAACGTTAATGTTCGGGGCCTTTGCATGTCCTCCATGTGTCTGTGTAGGTTTCCTCCAGATGCTCCGGTTTGCCCAACCACTACAGATCAAATCTATCCTTGAGCTGATGTATTTACAATTATTTCAATTATTTAATACACACTGTCGCATTTGAATAAACAATGAAGAGGTGATTAACGGGAAGGACCTCCTACATTATATTTGCAATATAATCCCATTCTTAGTTCGTGAATTTCATGATGATTCTAACAAAGTTGTTGATGGATTTTCTCTTTCTTAAACTGCTGCATATTCTAGTGAAAATGTAGTTTGATTTATCATAAAGTGACAGTTGGAAAACAAGGCAGTTTTTTATAGGAAAGCCTGTGGACACCTTTCTGATTGTGATTTATATTTGAAATATTAAATATGTAGACAGACCTCCTTGTTATTGTCTAGGCTTGAGACTCCAATTAGAAACAAACCAAATGTTTTCTTTGTGTTTTGAAGGAAAAGTTAGAAGCTGAACGAGGGATTGCAGGCTACAGCAACACACAAGAAGAACTGGAGCGAGTGTCTGCCATTAAAAGTGAACTGGATGAGAAGAAAGGCGGGACACTGGACAACATGTCTGAAATGGTGAACTCTCTAACTCCTTCCACCTACACTTAACTATGGGCTTAAGACGGGGTATACATGGTTCTAGCTTTTTATAGAGGCCAATCAGTATTCTGCTAAAACCTGCTTACAAATGCTATTGTAGGGAATGCATTAGATCAATCAGTGCCCATGTAAATTGCTCACAGTATATCAAGGGTGTCTAAATATTTTTGTAATAAGGGCACTTTAGTTAACCCGACCTGTCCAGGGGCCAGCAGTTGAGATGTGAGTTGCGAGATACAAACACATGCATACATTACTCAGTTTTGTTTATTGTATTATGTGTGTCCCCCCTTTATATTCTGAGGTAAACTAAGTAATGTGTGTTTATTTGACAGGTGAAGAAATTTAACTCTCTGATCGCTCAGAAGAAGGAAGCTTTGTCTCCACTGATTAAGGAGCTGCGATCACTGAGAGAAGAATGCCACGTATGTATTTTAACTTATGTACGGGTAGAAAAAAGCATCACTGATGTCACTAAAGTATATTATGGTGCAGTGATTAGTGGATTAGTGCTTGTGCTTCACAGCAATAATGTCCTGGGTTCGAATGTGAGGTTTTGCATGTTTTCCCTGTGTCTGCCATGTTTTGCCTACCATTAAAAACATGTACAATAGGTCTGAATGTAATGTATGTATATTTCTTCCATCCATTTAGTTTTTAAACAATAAATCGATAAGTTATTATTGTGACAAACCGACTGTGAAGTGTAAGTAAAATTATACATGTTTGTAATTTTCTCAAATAAAAAACCTGAAACTATGATACAGCAAAAATAACAGATTGCATTGTCAGCATTGCACATCTAAAGAATGAAGGTCAGTGGCCTACCTGCAGTGAAAGCCAGATCCCATCAGACTTCTGAAGCTCAGCAGGGCAGGGCTTGGGAGACCTCTGATGGCAGACCTCTGGGAACACCAGGTGCCACTGTGGGGTGGCTGTAAAGTGCTAAACTGTCTAGTGTTCTTCGGCAAGACACTTCAGCCACATTGCCTAGAATGACCTAGAATGAGTTTGGTGTGTGTGTGAGCAGTTGGTGGTGGTCAAAGGGGCCGATGGTGCCAAAAATGGCGCTATATAAAATTGATTCATTTATTATTTTATGATTATATTATTATATTATCAGTCTTTGCTTCAATGTCACATTCTTTTTTACTTTCACTTCACACGTCTGCTACTGTCAGTGAGAAAAATATGAATTTAAATCTATGCTTTTGTGATTTTACTAGCACCTGTTTGCCGGCATTACATCTAAACAGTGACGGCTTATCATAAACAATAATTCAATGATTAAGTGGAGCTATAATTTACTGTTGCTATAATTAACAATCATTTAGACGTCCATAAATAAAATGTGCGATGGGAAAGCCCCCACTGCACGCAGCTAAATGGGAGGATTAGTTTTTCCTACACGTGTTCCCAGAATCCGTCTCACTTGTGCAACTTCTTTTGATGAAGAGACACAGTATGACCGCATAAATACACTTTTCTAAGGACTGTACAAACAAACACTAGTTGTGTGTCTTTGCTGACGTGAAAGTAATATTTGTACATACACCTTAAATAAATAATAATGATTGAGAAAAGGAAAACAAATATTTAGCATGATGCCAAATACAAAATGAAAGATTCTAATCTGCTGTTTATGATTGATGAGTGTACAGAATTGCTTTAGTAACATTATTTATGTGTAAACAGAATATTTAGACAAATATTGAGAGTATAAATACAAAAGAGAGAAATAATTTTTTTCTTTTGGTTTATTTTTTGGCTTTCCCATTTTACCTGTTAATGTTGGAAGCTAAAAATAAAGTTGCAGCTGTTTTTGATGAGCACTGCCGTTCAGCAGGAAAAAGGGCTCTCTCTAATATTCATGTAAAGTTTGTGTGCTCTGGTAAAGATGATTCTTTCCACTTGCGAACTGGTAATTATGATTGCAGTCTGTTCAAGTGCTTTGTTGTCATCAGTAAAATTACAAAACAATAATAAAACTGTCTCAGAACATCATACCGTCATATTTTACTTAAACTGATGTGAGGATAAAACGTAGTGGCTGTGGTTTGCAGCAAAACACCGGAGTGCACCAGAAAATATGATTTTTCTTTTGGGATTTTCATTGGGCAAGTGGGATTTACCATAATTTCCAGAGTGCATGAGTGCACCGTTATACAAAGATTAAAACGGAAAATTAGAATATTGTTCAAAAGTAATTCAACTTACAATGTGAAAGTAATATACAATAATATTTACAAGCCCTTGACAAGCCTTTATTATTTGTTTATAATGTTTATAATTGGCTCACCACATATAAAACACCAAATAAAACATCTCAGAAAGTTTGAATATTTTGATAATAGACTGTTGGCCATAGTCATGAAGATGAACTAACTCTGCATGTATGAGTCCATATAAGCTGTATTTGACTAAAACATTACAAACGTGATTTGTGGTTTTCATATTTCTGTGAGCAGAATGTGAGCCAGGAGTACGAGGAAAAGAAGGCCTTGTATGAACGCACTGCTGCCGGACACGAGAGCAACCGTTCAAAGCTGGAGCAGGTACTTGGATACAAAATGTCAAATATGTAACAATAGAATAACCTTGTGTTGGTAACGTCTGAGCGATTTCATTTTTCCCTTTCGCAGGATGTAAAAGTGCTGAAAGAGGAGACGGCACAAGATGAAAACCAATACCATTATCTCAACAGCCAGTCTCAGGTTGGATACATTTTGGACATTTTTTAATACATTTTCACGGTTTCTCCAATTCACATTCCACTTCAGCCTCATCAGAGCAGCATTTACCAATTCAAGGCGTATCACTTGGATTTAGAGTGAACTGTGACATTGAGGATGTTCACAAAGCATAATAATGGGCAGAAATCTTGATTCTATTCACCGTTCAGTTACATTATTACTTATATATATTTTTAAAGAGTCTAATGTTCACAGGAATTAATAAAATGGATGAATGTCCCAGAGCATCCCCATTCCAAAGGCCCTGTATATACTGTAGATGGACAATGCTAACCTCTTAGCTCAATGAAGCGCGAATGGGAAGTGCTCATGGACAAAGTTTCGCTCTGGCTCCGATTGACTTGCATTGAAAACAAAAGCTCTTCTTATCCTGCAGTCTGAAATGTGCACTGCAACACTGGAATTTCCCCACTGTTGGATAAATAAAGGTTATTTTCTTATTCCTCCAATGTGTTTAGATCGTCGAGATGCAACTCCGGCGAGCGGCCGACGAGATGAAGGCCTACGTGTCCTCAGACCCACAGGAGCGGAAGAAGACCGTCAGGTGAGCACAGGACTGACATCTGCCTTTCATTTTCAAGCCATAAAAACACGTTTAATTAAATACATGCAAGACAGATTCATTCTTCACATTTTGGTGGCAACAAAAGTGCAAATAAATAACAAGTCTGTATGGTGGTGACAGATGGTGAAGATGGTGGTAAATGTTAGAGTTTTGAAAAGACTAAAAACACTAAATGTGCTTGTGACTTCTTTTTAAAGGGACATGTACTTGAAAAACATTGCAGAGCAGGAGTTACTTGGAAAGGTAGGCAAAGCCCTTTATCAAGAAACAGTTTGTATGCAGCTAAAGCATCCAAGCGCATCGTTTTTATGTGTGTATTTTTACAGAAACTGCGTGAAAAGCAGAAGACGGTGCGGGAGAACCACGGCCACAACATGGAGCAGATGAAGATGTGGAAGGACTTGGATTTATTGATTGAGTGTAAAAAACAGTGCTTCGTAAAGGCTCAAAACCAGGCGTCTATTGGCAAAGTCATTCAAGAAGAAGGAGGAGGGGACCGGCTCGTGTTGTGAGCTTAGTAAGTCCACAGAACACACACAGCACATTCAATAGTGCTCTGTGTCAATGCACTGTTTATAGAATAGGACTTGTGAACGCATATATGCAGCGTTTAGCGTTTTCATTTTGATAGAGAATTTGAAAATCAAGCAAAGAACTGTATACTATCTGAGAATCAAACTATATATGATAATCTAACTTTGAAATTCCTCATCGAGTTTTTTTTTTTTCAATCTGTAGGCTTTTCGAGGCGTGTCTAAATTCTAAGCCTTGTTTTTGTTTGTTTTGTTCCCCATTAGCCACTGAAACATACAGTAGGTGTTCTTCCTGGGGTCTATCTTCTCATCGATGTCACGTTGACTTGAAAATTGACAAAAAGGGATCGACAAACAAAAAATATGCATAAACAAAAATTCAGAAATACACTGTAACGGTATACATACATACTGTACATACACACATACATATACATACATACACACATACATATACATACATACACACACACAATAACCCCCAAGACACATCTGTGGTGATAGACTTTCAGGCAAAGTGCTCAAAGATAACAGATTACAAAGTGGCGCTCAGTCAGATATTTCAGGCAACAGACGCGTTGGATAAAGCATAATTCTTATTCAAACAACAATGTACTTCAACAAATACATTTCAAGGCTCTAACATCAACCCTGAGTTTGTATAACTGTAACTTTTATTAATCTGCTATTCCTTTCATATTTTCCTTTCATTGCAGCTCACTGAATTGTCCACTCAAATCAGAGAGGGTCCTGGGGGGCGGGTGGGTGGATGTTGACCCTCACCCAGAACTGTCTGTTTACAGCTAACATCCAGATACAAACACTTACATTAAATGTATTAGTGTTACTCTTTCAGTTATCTCATTTTGAATAGATTTATTTTATTTGTTTTATCTTCTTTCCGCCATACTTCCAGGACAATTGAAGCATTGTTTTGTGCTTTATTGGGTGCATGAGCTCAGTTGTACAGTGTAAGAGCAGGGGCCTTCCCAGTCAAGTGTAAATGAGGTTGTAATAGAATAAGACGTAGGGCTTTTGTAATGGGATGCCTACAGTCGGGGAGATATGTGGGCGTGGAAGCTACATGTGTTATATTATACAAAAGGATTACAATAAATCAACACATTTGAATTATACATTTATTTTTGAATGCCCCTGGGCATTAGAATATGGACTATTATTTGCTTTAATTGTAAGCAGTTCTTTCTTTCTTTTGTCTAAACAGGTTGTGTTTCACTAAGAGGAGATTACAGACTTACATCCATCAGAATAATATTCTGATTATTGGATTTGAGTCTAATGCAAGAGAACATACTCGGGTCATTTTAGTTCATCCCCTGTTTGTGAGCTTGACTCCATGGGTCTGTGGAGAGACAAGTCTTAGTCAACTATAGTAGATTCATGAAATGTGTATATTAAAAAACATAGTCTTGTATAAAAATGAATACTTTTATAATAGAACTTTTGATGACATGCTGTCACATTAAAGCTGGCGTTCCTAACCTTTTGTTTGCCTCATGACTAAAATGGGTAACATCGTAACATTGTGTGAATAAATCAGACCACAACACGCTATCTTTGTATTTAATTAGAAGTGTTTCTTTGTTTTACTGAGCTGATTCACTGAGGGAGGGATGCTACTGTCTTTTTGAGTGAAAAAGCTGATCTAAAGATGTAGACGGAGCCCAAACATACATGTCTGTGAAATGTTGTAAAAGAAGCCAAACAGTTTTGAGAGCGTTGAACTATAAATACCTGTTTACATAGTTCATTTTTTGTGGCTTCAAAGTAGGTACAGCTTTAACATAAGAAGATAGTGCAACGATTAAGATGAAGAGATCCTTTATTTGTTCCACAGTTGGGAAATTCATAGATTACAGAACAGTAGGAATGAGGAGCACACAACAAATGAATATTAAAGGTATAAAGGGGGATTTTCCCACCTCTTCAAAACTCTGGCTTATTTGAGGAGCACCAGCATATCACCAGAATGATTGACAATTGGGAGGACCAATAGTCGTGATGATCCACCAGGAAGTAGAAAATCCTCCTCAATACCTTTATAAAAAGCACCAGCAATAAGTATCTAACTATCTATATGTAGCCTGTTGACAAGTAGTTATACCAATTTAATTCCTATTTGTTACAAAACTACTAAACAAAATTCCAAGACTGTGGGACGGTCCTTCTCTGGACTCTTTTAGAAACAAACTATGGGACTTTGAGGAAAGGCATATCTTTGACATTATGTTTGGAATATTGATGAACCCAGCCGTCAAAGCCTTCGAGCACGACGTTTTTTACACAAAAGTTGAAATAAAAATAAAAATACCAAACCAAAATGCTTTTCTGGATCTATTTAATTTCATATCCATTTCGCACAGTATCTATCATAACACACAGTAAAAGTTGAAGCCGCAGCTGCAGACAGACGCGTAGACCGAGTGAACTTCCTGGATGTTTTGGCGTCTCCTCGGTTTGAACCAACAGCAGTGACGCAGCTCGTCCAATGGTGGGAGTCCACATGCGGAGAGGAAGAACCGAGCTCCGAAGCACAGCGCGGTGATAAACCTCCAGCCCCCAGTCCGCCTGAAGCTCAGAGCCGCTGCACCACGGGCCACCACACCGGCTGAATGCGCCCCTACACCCGGGACTCTTGCCGCAGATCCACCCCCTTCATTTTTGGATTGAGAAACGCGCATCCAAAGCGGACCATAGACGCCCTTTTTGCTTTCAATCAAACAGGCTGTGACAGATAGATAGACAGAGAAGGAGAGAGGGAGAGCAGGTTCAGTGAATGGTACCAGCTCTCAGTTTGCAAACTCTTTGATTGTTTTTTCTTTTTCTTGTGGACAACCGTGTGCGTGTGCGTGTGCGGGAAGCGACCGTCTGCTCAACATGGAGAACGCACATACGAAGAGTGTGGAGGAAGTTTATAGTTTTTTCTGCGTCAATGAGAGCACTGGACTTTCGCTGGAGGAGGTGAAGCGGCAAAAGGAGAAATGGGGCCTGAATGGTATGGACTATTAATGTGTGAAATGTTCTATAACAGAGGGTGTATGAGGAATAGAGAGTGGTGTCTTTTAACCAGAAGAGCAGCAGCAGCAGCAACAGCAGGTCTGGGCTGTGTTGCGGTGTTTACATAAGACTATAAAGGCAGTTGGGATCTGCAACTGAAGAAAGCTTTTGTAATGATCTCAATGAGCAGGTATAAACCAGTATGTCATCCAGGCGCGATCTGTAAATGTGTCTTGTCATTGTGGTTTGCGCGTTGCTTGGTGTGGGCTAAAAGTCAGTGGCTCAGGACAGTCACCTGGCTGACGTCAGTGCAGGGTTCCCACGTTTTTCAGAAACGGCTTAATCATCAGCCAAAGCACGTGTGTGAGAGAGGCTACACTTCACTTATTTTATAGCCAATGCATCCAGAGAGTTTTAAGGAATTTTACATCTGAAAAATACGTCTTCACAGGATCTTTATAGCAACCTGATAGCATCACTGCACATGTGTCCTTAGGCATAAGTGTCTTGCCTAAGGACACAACCCCTACGCAGGAGCAGATAATGATCCTCCAAACTTTGGATTGGAACGCTCATACCTGACCACTTACACCACTCTTAAACTCCTTCTAGCTAAATCTTTAAAACAATTATTCATCTGGCTTTTTAAATATGTTTATGTTTTGTACCTGTGCAGATCTGTAAATGCCTGTACCATTGTCCACCTGTATTTCACTCTGAATTTTCTCAATGGACCTTGTGAAACATTTGGGGAGTATCACGTTCCTTTGATAACACTGTCACCTCACAGTCCCCTTGTTGGCTCGTTGGATAAGGTTTTACTGTTGGACGTGCCAGTGGTCCCAGTGGTCACAGGGCGACCTCGGTGCCCAGGGCCCCTGACATGCATATGACAGAAAGGGGAGGATCAGTGAGTAACTCTACCCCCCAAACATAAGCTCTCTTGTTCCAGGATTAAACAGCTGTTTTTATATTAATATCACCTGGGAGGTCACACAGGCCATGACCACTCCACTGTTACACGCTTTGACCTCTACTTCTACTTGACTCTTGTAATGCCAATTCTGAGACTTGTGTAAAAACATGTTTGTTGATTTCAGTTGAAAATCTGAAATGAATGCAAGTATTTAAAAGATCAGAGTAATACACCTTAATGTACAAAATACATATTTTTGAATAGGTCCAAGGCTATTGGTGTCTCAGACCCTTGTAGAGAGCCAAACTTTGAAAGTATATAATGTTTCTTTGGTGAGTGCTTGATTGTCGGTCTTTTAAAATCCATTTGTGCACCCCCAATGCTCTTTCTGTGTGGAGTTGCATTTTCTCCTTGTGTCTGAGTAGGTTTCTTCAGGTGCCCCCTAATACAAAAAACAAGTCTGTTCTATATAGCTTATGATTGCAGAAATAAGAAATACTTACTTAGCTCATTGCTTAATTGGTTGAAAAAGTTCAATAAATGTATTTAGATGCTTTTGGAACTTTTTATATCATGATTGTTGCTAGGCAAATTAGGTAATGTAATTTGAAGACATTTTCAAACATCAGCAATATTTCTGCTTTGAGGTCTGTGCAAACTGGGCACTAAGTGAGAAACTATTAGAAATACTTAGGTGGCTTCTTCACATTCTACAATTGGATAATCTCAGATGGGTGCTTGTTTTGAGTGCGTCTGTGTCAGCTCTTTGGACACATGAACCTGATGCAAATAAGACCTAACTTGGCCTGATTCATCCAAGATGGGTGTAACCGGGTGAATACTGTTACGGCTGTCTGAGGCTGCATTGAAGGTCATTCCTCTTTTGTTCATGTACAGTATACAGCAAGTGAATATCTTTAGATTTTAACAGTAAACCAGTCCCTTAGCTCTATACTTGAAGTGAAGAGAAAATGAAAAAAAAAAAAAGGGTTTTGTAGCTTGAAAATCAGTCCCCTCCGTCCTCTTACTGTCATCATGGGGACTGGGGGAGCTGGGTCCATCTCACAGTTTCACTCACTAACATGTTTTTTGTGTTTTTTCTGGTGTTTTTCCTATCGTCTCCTTCTCCCGTCGATCACACAGAGTTACCAGCAGAAGAAGGTAAGTCCTCAAGATAAATAAAAGGTACAGTGTGTGACAATGTTAACCGTCACCTCGCCTGCAGGAAAATCTTTATGGGAGCTGGTCCTTGAACAGTTTGAAGACTTACTTGTACGGATTCTTCTATTGGCGGCGTGCATATCGTTTGTGAGTATTTTATATATTTCTTTCTTCATCACAGATACCACACTTTCACTAGAGACATATGAGCCTCGACCATATGCAAAGTCTGCAATCAAATCTAACCTATTTCAATAAGGTGTGCCACTGACTCCACCAAACCAGACCTCTAAAAGCCTTTTAGAGGTCTCCATTTTTTCTATCACTTGATGTTTTATTTATTCTGATGCATGTATAGTTTATAATCTTAAAGTCAACCCCTCATCCCCTCGTAATCTGTATGACGAGGATGATTCAAGTACGAGAAAAAGTCTAAGGTATAATTTTGATGTTGTATATTTCTGTATAAGTCAGCTGGCATGTGTCGTTTAATTAAATCATGTTTGAGAAGTATTGTATATCCAGATTTGGTGCACGCTGGGGTAGTCTTTTCCAAGTTTTTCCAGTGTGGTTTTACTGCAAATGGTAAATTCTTGTATCTTTTAGCTTGTTAAGATCAAAGTATATTCATTCACATGGAGTCAGAGATCTTGCTGTAAATTCTATATATATTGCAGCGCTGTGGACCTGCCTTTCTCCCTTTTCCTTTTATGGAACTCCTTTGATTCTTGTTGTGTGACTGATGACTGCTGAAGATGATCACGTTCTTCTCTCTGCTGTAAAGTGATAATTGATTACACCCGCGGCCTTTTATATGTTCTCCACATAGCAATGTCTATCAGAATTCTTTCATTGCCGTGTGAGTAACAAGAAGCTACAAACTAGGAAGTTGCTTTGGCTTTCGGTGCAAACAAGTTAAAGCGGAGAATAGAATGAGACATGCATGAATAAAAATCTACATTCATTTCTTCAAATCTATATACAGTTTAACTCATCAGGGCAAACAAGCCCAATCGGGAAATGCTCATGGACGAAGTATTGCTTGCTCTAGCTCCTATCGACCTAGATTGAAAAGTCCTAGCTCAGTAATCGCTTGTGTCACACTCACTGTTTTGGGCTTAGAAAAATCTTTAGCGTTCTCTAAATCCAGCTTTGAGCCGTATAAGGAAACAATTTTATAAAAACAAACAACTCCATGCACGTCTGTAGTCAGTCCCGTCATATATATCTGTACTCATTCCCAAAAACATGGTCCCAGGTTGAGGTGCCAGATTCATAAAAGAACAGGGCATCTCTGCTTCAGAAAGATACAAATCGCTCAATCAATTCAGTTCAAATTAATTCTGGCCCTAAATTACAACCACAGGACTTTGCAAAATTGTCATTTCGCCAACAACAGATCAAACAATTGGAACAGGAAGTGCATAATATAAAAAATGCATAAGAGCTATGTGCCCATAGGCTAGCAGGATGACCAATGTATATAAATAAATCCAGATGTTTATTTCGAAACCACACAACACTATTTCACAGAAAAGCAGTTTTGAAAAGGGGTTGTATGAGCAAAACCCAAACACAGTCGAAAAGTACAATACATAAGCAGTACAGGAGAATAGTAACACAATACAATATCCTTTACGGTTCAACACGAGGCCCAAGACAGAGGCCCAAACACTCTCTGATCCAACACCCTACCCCACTCACTCTTTCCTCCTCGTACGTCTCTTTTAAATGCCCATAAATGCAAATATGCAAACCTTGAGTGTGGCAAGAGGAAAATAACAATTCTGTATCTAGTTGTTACATAATAAACTTTCTTTATCTCTTCAAACAAACCAATCTGCCTCGAGTTGAACCCACATCCCAGAAGGCGATCTCAGGACAAACAGTTGTGGTCTATAAATACTGACGTGTTGCCTCCTCTGACTGACACACGTTTGTGTGGATGCACATTTGCACATGGATTATTCTTGAGCCCAGAGTCTTCAGCAGCGGCACAGTTTATGCAGCACATAGCATGGAAGTGTGAACGTCTCCAGTTTGTGCCACACGCAGCTCATATATTATGCTGCTGATTAGAGGCTAAACAGCTGAGCACCATCTGAGGAATGGTGAGGACAGCAGCAGTAGCATTAAGTTGCTGTCGCCATGTGCCAAGAAAGACATTTATGTTGACAAGCTGCTCAGCGGGCTCAACAGACACTGGATACTCTTCATGGAGGGGCTCGTTGGAGAGAACAAAAGTACAGCTAATGGCCTGTTCTTTTATTTCCCACTGTAAAGGCGAACCGTTGCCAAGGTGCCTCTTGGACAGGTCTCCCTCCAAAAAGAGATGATATCTCAAGGGACATCCCAAATGTTTGTCCAAAGATCGCCTTCAGTGATGTAGGTTCAACTCAAGGCAGATTGGTTTGTTTGAAGAGAGAATTTCTTTAAAGAGAAAAAAATTACAATGTAACAACTAGGTACAAAATTGCTTAAAGTTATTTACTTAAAGTTGGAATAAGAGTGGTTTATTTGATGGCATTTTATGGACATAAAAAAAAAAGTACTGAAGTATGTGGAGGAAATAGTGATGCCTTCAGTGCAAGTAGGGGCTTAAAAACATATAATATTTTAACTATTAGTCTTATAGGTAAAATGAACCTTTTCCAAGAAGTTGACGACCAAAACAGAGTTGACACTTGAATGGGCATCTGAAGGCGACACTATCGATGTTGTGCATATGAGCAACACACTCAACAGCACGATTCAAAATTACAATCACAAATAAAGGTTCAATCTGGGTTTTTTTTCCCCTTTAAGGACTGCATACAATTTTCATTCAATTTCATTCCAATCATTATTATTGTCTCAAGCGCTGAGCTTTTTAAGATGTAAAGGGTCTTGAAAAGAAATGCAATGTCTTGGTTTTGCATTCATGAAAAATAACTATTTATTATTTAATATTCAGTATTTCACTTTCACACCTTTATATGCCTTCACAAAAGGTTGCCACAAACAAGCCGGCTATCACGTGATATTGTTAGAAACATTTTAATAAAAAATTGTAATTACACATTTTTAATTACAATTCTTTTTAATTACAATGATAAAATGTCTATGGAGCAGTTTCAATATGTTTATCTAAAAGACACAAATGCAGTGGCCTCACCAGAACAACTGTCCTCCTGAAGCAGGAGAGTAACAGATGGCAGACTCTGTGATAAGCGGCCCCTGAGCGCCTGGTATGTACAGCACAGTCAGGTGATACCAAGGTGTCACTGGCTGCTGTCAGACAGAGCTGCTCTGCGCCACTCGGCACCAAATACGGGCCCTCCAACCACTGTGGGAGGGCCTCACCCACCCCTCTACTGTAGCACCAGTGAAGGACAGAAGTCGACAGTTCTGTGGAAAAAACTAATTTGGCTCAAAATGGACAAAGTTTAGATGCCAGCTGAGATGGGACAGCAAACAATTACAAGGCAGGGTACTTCAGATTAGTTTGTTCTATCATCTGATAGTGATAAATGTACACTAAATGGCCTGGTCAGTGGTGGACTGTTACTCACTGTTACTCTACGGTGGTTGCTTTAAGTACCTTCCACATTCTGCTGAAAACGACTAGCCTGCTAACGGTGCACCAGATGAGTGCAGAGCATAGAGCAGAGGAATAAAAAACTTTTCTGCCACTGGTGACATCTGAAGCTATGTACCCTGGTGCTGTACTACAGCGACCACTGCTTCTAAAATATATCTTCACCTTGACACAGCTTCACACAGACGGCCCAGATCAAACCTGCATCCTCCTTGTTGTGTCTGAGTGAGTCTCCTCTGGGCTCCTCAGTTTCTCCCATCAACACAACAACAAAACATACACACCAGAAGGATGATCCTGACAGGCACACTCTGGAGATCCCAGGTCTGAATAGCAACATCAGAGTATCGCTGTTAATGTACAGAAGGAATTCTCTGTTTCAAGGGTCAATAAAGATGAAGGATGAAGAGATCCTTTATTTGTCGCACAGTGGGGAAGTTTCAGTGTTGCACCATCGTTTATACAACAGTAGGAATGAGGAGCACACAGCACAAGATAAATGAACAATAACAACTCTATACTAAAATTAAATAAATTCTAACTAAGCATAGTTCTAACTTCAGCATAATAAAGAAAATTCCCCCGTGCTCTTTGAACTGTCAACCTAATCTTGTTTGTTTTTCTTGCAAATGTTTTTCAGGTTTTAGCCTGGTTTGAGGAAGGAGAAGAGACTATCACAGCATTTGTAGAGCCTTTTGTAATTTTACTCATTCTAATCGCCAATGCCATCGTCGGAGTTTGGCAGGTGAGACATTTCATTCACTATTTAATTCAAACAAGACCTATAGTATCGTAGGATCAATAGTTCTAGGTTTGTGCCTAAAGGAAACTGCCTCTAGAGGCGGCGGCTAAATTAATTTGGTGTGCACTTAGGACATTCACTTCCAAAACACCACACAAGTATTTTGGAAATAAATCAAACTTTTTCAGCTAAAGTAATGGAAGTAAATGCAGACGATAACAGCTTTTGAAATGTATGGATCATACAGAAATAAGATGTGGGTCATGTGGAGCACACAAGCTACAACAACCCCTCTTCTCCACGCAAGTCAGTACTTTTTTGGGGTATAAGCATTGTTTCTCTGATATCAGAACAGAACTGATGTCTATCATTCACTAATCCCTCTTAATTAATTTAGACATAATTGACATAACTGATATAATCACAAAGCATTTGAAGTTATGAAGCACTTGGAGCTCTGCAGAAACTTGAATAGTTTAATCTGCACTATGCTGTGGGAGGAGGAGCTGGACGCAGAAGTAAAAATCAGGTTTAAATCAAGCTTCATGCCGTCCATGTGTTGGTCCAGTCACTCCTCAATATCCTCACTATGCTGCCCGTGCACAGCCATGCTCCTTATAGACTCCACTCTCCCTGCTCCGTGTGCTGCTGTATTGAGCCTGGAGGCCGCAGCCTGTGAAAGTCCAGCAAGTTTCCTGAAAATGTTGTCTGAATCTTTCCATAACCTATTGAGTTATGGCGCAAATTAACCCATGACCTCTTTCCCTAGTAGGCCGGTGGTAATAAAAGTAATCATCAAAATATAACATTTCAATTTACCAAAATGATAGAAAATAGGAGCTATGAACAAAAACTTCACTTAAATTCGATTCAAAATTCCACATTTGAAACAATGGATACACAGGTGTATATAGCCTAAAAAGAGTCCGACCAGCTCTCATTCTTCAAATTCAGCCCTGTCTTAGAGTTTAACGCCCCTGCTCTGAAATGAATGTTAAGTGGGTAAATATAATGAAAACAATTCTTAACCCTGTTGAGTTTCATCCAATATGAACGGGGGGTGAAGGCCAAATTGTCTTACAGGTGACCGAGGTACATAATATTTGGAGAAGATAAGTTATGACTCAAAGCTAAAATGCACCACATTCAATAAAGCGTCCCGAAGTCTCTAAATCCACAGGAGGAGGACTTTTATTAGGTTATACTTCAAACATTATCAGTTTATTCAGGACAAATGTTGGCACTGAGGCAATTTTCTCTCGCAGGAACGAAATGCTGAGGACGCCATAGAAGCACTAAAGGAGTATGAGCCAGAGATGGGAAAAGTCTATCGCCAGGACAGGAAGACGGTCCAGCGGATCAAAGCCAGAGACCTTGTACCTGGAGACATTGTGGAGGTGGCTGGTAGGTCGCTTCCTACGTCTAAACTTTGTGTCATTATGGTTTGCTTCTCTTTTTATCACAACACAACATGAGCGAGGGAGAGATGATGGTGTTTGGTTTTGAGAGCTGTCTTTGTGGGAGTTTTGAGTAGGAGTTTTAATTTTGTACCGAGCAGTCATTTTCAAGACTGGATGAAATTTTGTGCAGATAATTTTTTTTGAAATTTACCACAAGGGAAGTGCTCATGGACACATTTTTGCGCCAACTCGCTCTGGCTTCTACTGGCTTAAAAGCAAACTCCTCTCGCTCATTAACATTTATGTCACACTCACCATTTTGGGATTACAAATGTGTGGTTTAGCGTTCTCTTTGATGCTGTTTATACTTTGATATTGTCTTTTTGTAAATCCAGATATGAGCCATTTATATGATGGATCGATCAGATGCATTTTTTCGCAAGGGGAAACTCCAGCTTGCCTTAGCAACCATCTTAGCAACACGTTACTGCGCAAAGCTAACCCGTTTGGAACAAATGGCCATATAAGGAAATTGGCTCCAGTTAGCTTTTGTTCAAATCAGCTTCTTGCGCTTTCGGCTAACACTTAATCCACTTCCAATACACAGTCTATGCTAAGGACTTTGCAAGCTAGTTACTTTGCCTCCAACGTATTGCTACAGATTTAAATTAGTCGACCGACAAACCCATATTCCCAGGAATTAAAGTGATAATAGGGTGTTGGTAGTCCATTCTCTGATGGATGTTATCATTGAAATGCCCACTTTAAAGAGTCAATATCAGACTTACTATGGTCACAGATCACATTTAGATCTAGTTGAACCCCCCCCCCCCTTTTTCCCATGAGCCTTTGCAGCAGTGAGTCACCCTGAACGGCCGGTATATTTTCAGACCTTCTTATTAACCCATTGTCTCAGAGGGATAGGCTAAAATGTTATTAGTAATACGGCCCCATTTACCGTCGTGTGTGTAATCGGCCACACTCGCACTGTGTCGCGGCAGTTTGTGTTGTCTGCAGTAGGTTCCCTCCGGTCACTTTGAGCCGCTCTGATTGTCGACGTGTTGATCCGTGCATTGTTCGATAAGAGGGTATTGTGCTTTTATTTGGATGGATTATTTGGTAGCTAATGGGATCTCATACTTTTGAGATTTTTTGTAGACCCTGAATATTGCCACGCAGGGATTGTTGCAGAAAGTTTGTTTTCTCCTGAATATTTTGCCATTTTTAATTAAGAAACTGCTGATGCTGGGGATTCAAGTAACAGTTAATACAACTACTCACCTTTCATCTGTATTGATTATTATCTTGTCTTATTAAGAAAAACATTTATTTATTTATTTATTTTTTTGGGAGGGCAATCACAGTCGGCGTTCATTTTACACTGAACAAATATATAAACACAGCTTTTCTTTTGGCGGCCTTTTTTCATGGGTTGAACCGAACAATAGAAAACTAAAGTTGAAAAAAATTCTCAAAGTATCTCAAATTGTTCACAAACCTGTTTGCAATGAATATTGCACAGGTGTGTGGTGTGTAAGTTAGACCATACCACAAATAGGCCACTCTAAGCAGTTCACTTTTGGTTTTTAATGGGTCTGGGCAGAGTCAGAAAACCAGTCAGCGTGAACTCCATTTGCCTCACGCGTTTCAACACGTTGCGTAGTTTATCAGATTGTTGATTGTGGCCTGTGGAATGTTGCTTCACTCCTCTTCAATGACTGTGTGAAGTTGTTGGGTATTGGCAGGAACTGGAACACGCTCTTGTATACAGCGGTCCAGTGCATCCCCCATGTTCGGAATGTCATAGTGGATATTGTGAATCGTACAGATAGATTTTCCACCTTGTAAAGTTATGTTGTTACTATAATAATTCTGAGTTTGTAATATGTTGGAACTGGAATATTATTATTTTTTGTCACATATCTGGTCACTATAATAGTTAATAATTGATGCACCCTGATGACGCAAAGGTTTGATCTCTCCTCCATATGACATTCTTACTGCCTCTTTTTTACTGCAATGATATCTTGACTTATAGCTTTCTTTATTTTTTAGCTCTGGCTTTCTAGTTGATCAGCAGAACACCTCAATCCTCCTTTATATGAAGTGGTAACAAGACAATTTCCAGGGGTATGTAGATCATGTAGTCCATGCGGTGCTCACAGTGGCAGAATTTTCCAGGACGCATGTGTTGGTATGCCGTTATCGGGAACCTCTGTTTAACCCTAAGGCGATGCGGTCTTTTCAGTGCATAGTGGACGCTGGTATTTTTAGCCTTCATACACTGTTTAGATTATAGTATGTGGTATTTATAGGCCGCAGTGACAGTCGTGCGGATGACAGGTGTCGAATCCCACCACGGTGCCCCCCTGCACTCGGGCCCAGGGGAACAGTGGAGCTGCTCTGACGTAGGATAGTGCAGCACGACTGTCACCTTCACAAGGGCAAATCCAAACACAATGTCAAACTGATCCTTCGAGACCGGTTTTTATACAATATGCATTCAATACTTTTCAATTCAGTTTATTTTTTTATTACAGCCCTAAATCAGTTATTTCAGAGGACTTTACTAAACCGTTGATTCGCCAACACAGATCAGAGAAAGATACGGTTCAAACACAAGAAATGCAATGATAAAAAACGCATAGAGCCAGTGGTCCATCAGGGGCGGAGGATCAATGCCCTCAATGTTGATTAAGTTCTTAAATGTCGTTGAATGTCGAGTGTCCTGGATCATAACCACTTTCCCTCGACCATGTACAGTACACCTGTATACAAACCATACCAGCTGAATGTTTAAGTAAAGTACATTGTGTGCACATACTGTATAGGCCACTCTTGAATATAAGCCACAGGTTTCCATATTATAAAGAAACATTTGCTGGAGACCAAGTAAGCCCTAATCACATAAAAACAAGTCATGTGTATTTCCAGGCTTTTCCTCCTGTTGGCTCTCTCTGCTCTGCTCACATAAACATTTGAGAGTATCCCTCGGGGCGCAGAAAGAGTTTTGGACACATCTCTTTGGACGAATACAAACAACTGGCTGCACCGCTATAGGGTTTAAAGAAAAAAGTTGCGGTTTGTAGTCTTTTCTATAGTGTCTCTATTGCCTTTTTATTTATGCATGCCTACTTGATTTTATTCTGCTTTAACTTGTTTGCACCAAGAGCCAAAGTATTTTCCCAGTTTGTGACTTCCTGTTACTCACATGGCAATAAAAGGATTTTGATTCTGATTTGATTCTTCAGCCAGTGAAAAGAAATGGGTCTTAAGAAGGGAATTAAAATGGACCAGTGAATCAGCGGCTCTGACCCACGGTGGTAGACTGTCCAAAGCCGGGGCCCGACCACAGAGAAGGCTCGGTCCCCTATACTCTTCATATTGGACCTGGGAACTTTAAGGAGCCACTGGGAAGATGACCTTTTAGTTCTTACAGAATCCTGACTACACAATAGTTCATTCAAATACAACGGGGCCAGCCCATGAAGACATTTAAAAACAAAAAGTAGCATTTTAAACTGAATCCGGTTTGTGACAGGAAGCCAGTGCAGTGACGCCAGTACAGGGGTTACGTGTTGAAATAACCCCTGTACTGGCGTGTAATAGGTGGTTAGAAAAGTGTATAAAGTTTTGCCTGATGAGTGCAGGTTTTACAGCTATAACAGAGAGATGATACTTCACAGATTTCCCCTTATTGCTGGTTATTTATAGACCTTAACCCCCTGCGATAAACAAGGGAGCCCTGTACTTTTCAAGCATAGTTTAAAGAGGCAAGAATTTATTTTGGTGTAAAATTATACCGTGGGAATCATGTACATGTAGACAGAAAGCTCCTATTTATTTTTATTTTCAAGCTGTGGTTACACTGAATATGGTCCGTACAATCTAAACCGCTTTTTCCAACCTTATAAGGCTCTATAATTGGTCAATAATGGTGCGTGCAACTTATCAACATTTGTCAGATCTTTTGGCAAGCTCGGTCACATCCTTGTTTATAATGTTGTTATCTCAAAGTTTATGATGGAATGAAAATGTTTGGAATCCCAAGCAAATGTGTCTAGTATTGTGTATTTTTCAGCTACTTCGCAGTCCTACGCGTTGCATTTGTTTTAAGCGCTTAAGAAGGAACTATAGCGTCTTTTTCTGATTTGTATCTTCTGGCCCATGGTTTGTTATTAGTGAAGGACTCAATAAATGTCACGTAAAACAGTGCCGTCAGCAGCTCGCAGCTCAGAGATGCAGCCAAGTGGGCAGAAAGTATCTTCAGGAGATGCTCTTGTCTACTTGTCATTACAATTTTGTACTCTACAGTTGAATAATAGATTATATATCAAAGCCAATAAATACAGGTCAAACTCAAATCATTTAAAACTCCTTCAAACTGATACATGATATGGACTCATTACATGCAAAGTGACACTTGCCAATCTGTTATAGTTTTGATCATGGCTTGTGTTAAGCTTGATTGGGCATTTTGAATTATGTATTGACACCAATTAGTGGCTGAAATTTACCCCGAACACTTGTTAAATGCCACAATTGCGCCATCTTTTTAATAAGTTTGCTTAACTCATTGACTGCCATCCGTTTTTGATGATTTCATTGACTTTCAAGACCCACAGAATATTGTGTGCTGTGACTATGTGAAAAAGGAAACTTGATTCTGAAAGATTGGACAGTCTACTTTCATCAGCAAAAATAAGTTTGTTTCTGGCTAGTTTTGTTCTTCTGTAATCCCCCGTCGAAAAGAGGGAAGTTTGTCAGTAATCACCAAACTTCTCTGACGTCAATGGCAGTCAGAGTTAATGATGGGAAGTTAGGCCAACGTGTTGACATTGGAAAACTGCTTTTTTGGGGCATTTGGCAATTTTCAGTTTTCTAAGTGCAAAATGTCTACCTGTTGATGGTATACAGTAGATACTCAATACTTACTTTAAGACCTTATGCCGGGTTTTATTTTATTTTATTGTGGATATCAAAATTGCATGACAATGTTGATCT